CAAGGATTGATCCATTGGTAAGGTCCAAGCCCTCATAATCCAATCATTTTCCTAACRCCCCACACTGCTGCACTGGGGAGCAAGCCTTCAACACATAGGCCTATGAGAGAGATTGCAGATCCAAACTATAATAAGTAAAGAAACAGCCCCCTTCAAAGCCAGGAGCATTCTTTATCAAATTTCAACCAAGCATTTAAAGCTCAAAGGAGTTGTAATGAGTAATTTGGAAATTCAAGAGTTTTAACCTTTGACTTCACAAGTAAAACCTAGGGATTATCCATACCGCTTTACCCTGATTCATGTAACCAATTAGGAGCTTTCTGTTCACACCGTTAGGTCAGTACAGCTTCAAGTTATGAACTTGGTTCTTTTGTTTGTTTGTCTGAAATTTAATTAGGACTGCCAAGATATCTTTAAAGCATTTTATAAAGTATTTGAAGAAACAGGTACACACACTTGATTTATTGCTTTTGGCATTGAAAAGCATTCAAGTTGCTAATAGTTCCTATTCATCATCAGTGAAACAAGTAGGATGTCAGGCTAAACAAGGAGGAGCTGCAGAGATCTGGACTCAAGAGCAGCAGTTGTGCACAGCTGTCAACAATAGTTCTGATGCAGCATGTGGCTGTAATGTACACTTCTCCCAGTGATAGGCTGAGGTCTCTGCCCTATGGGTTGTGGGCTGCACACAGAAGAACTGGTGCAATGTGTTTTTTTCTTGCAAGTAAATATGTGAAAATGAAAATTGTTTAATCAAGCTTAACTAAATATACTTCTAAAGTTGTAATAAAATGTGTTTATTTGAATCAAGCTGGACTTAAAGATATAATCTTAGAAATCTATAATGTTTAAAGGAACAACTTAATATAAAGGTATGTGGATAATACTACTACAATAAGTAGATTATTAAAGACATTTCATAATTAAATATATTTTATATTCAGAAAAGATTGGATTTTAATATCTGTTTCTAATAAATATGAAAAAACCACCAGGATAAGGAAAAATTTAAATCAATCCACAAAAAAAATCTGAAAGTGTACATAAATTTAAATTTCTTTAAGTAAAATATTGACTAATATGCTTGTGATAAACTTAGGTAAACATTAGAGATGATGAAATGAATATCTATCCAGTTACAAATTCAGATAAAAGCATGTGTTTTCAGAGACAAATGAAAGATATTTAGAAAAATAGATAATTCTTAATGGGGAAATGATATTTCTAGATACGTCATTAAATATTTTCAGTAGATTTTCTTACATTACATAATACAGTAGTTTATTATATAACATGGCTATCTTAATGACAGGTATAGGTTCTGAAAATTGTGATATTTGGTCATTTTTGTCATTATGTAAGCATCCTAACGTATACTTAGAAAAACTAACATGGCTACAGTATCACTAGACAATTGGTCATTCACAGGAACATCTTTACACAGCAAATGAGTGTATACTAAAATAAGGAAATAAGATACGCCATCTAGGATAATTGTAACAAGACTCTCTTGGTTCTAGGCACATAAAGTTGTTCAATAAATGGGAGTTACTATTGTTACATATTACTCCATCTCTACACAGAGTTCTGCTGGTTTTTATGAAGCTGTCTCTAGCCCTGAGCAGAACAGTGAAGCCATCCTCCCATGCCCTCAACCTTCACTAGGGATTCCCTAATACAGTGATGGGGACTCCTCTTTTTGATCTCTCACATACTTGGTGCCCTCTTCCTCTCTGAACAGCAGGAACAGAGCACATCCTGACCAAAGATGACACTGCTGTAGAGTGAATGTGTGTGTCCGTCTACAGTCTGTATGTTGAAATCCTAACCACCAAGATGATAATGTTAGAAGGTAGGGCCTTTGGGAGGTGATGAGGTTATGAGAGTAGAGTCCTCATGAAGACAATTTGTGCCCTATAAGAGATCCCAGAACAACCCTCTGCTCCTTCCCCCATGTGAAGGCACCATCTATGGAACAGAAGATGGGATCTCACCAGATACCCAATCTGCCAGTTCCTTGAACTTGGACTTCCCAGCCTCTAGAAAACTGTGAGAAATAAATTTCTTTGTTGTTTTTAACTTACCCAATTTATGGTATTTTATTATAGCAGCCCAAATGAACTGAGATAACACTTTAGTATGCCTGAATTTTAATCAGTCACTTTAGACCTTTTATCCCTAATTTCACATAGCATAACATTCTGGTATATATTATTCAATAAAGGTTTTCCAAAAGAAAAGCACTGTTTCTTTGTAAAATAATTTTAGTCATCAATAAGGAGCTATAGAGGCTCTAGATGGAGAGTCACATAAGACCCAGGATCTCCTAAATCAAACTCTTTAGGCTAAATTACAAGGTAAAGTAACATGGTAATATGGTAATTTTAGGGCAATATATATGCATTATGGGATGGAGGGGTCAAAAGGTAGGGTCCCGCAGGGCCCTTCTTATAAGATCAGTGCATTCTCGGAGAGCCAGTGGGATGGGGTTGCAAGAGACCTAGTGAGAATAGATGGAGACTTTAAGAACTAATAAACAGTCCCATGCAAGGTAGCAATGGGTCATGGGTTCAAGTTTCAGAGACAAAGCCCCAGGCCAGGAGGTAAGGGCCAGACAATGTCAGAGGGTTCAAAATGTTTCTAGGCAGAATAAGTCTTTGGTAAGAGGCATGTGCTGCAGATAGAATCTGGAGGTAAGCCCCAGGATCACCTTCATGCTTTTCTTTGTAAAAACTATAGAAGATCCTTCCTTCAATGATGGCCAGTTTATTGCTATTAAAAAGTGTGGCCAGATGAAGTTGAATTTTTCCCCACCCCCGCAAAAAAAAAAAAAAAAGAAAGAAAGAAAGAAAAAAGATATGTTGAAGATCTAACCCCCCAATAGCTCAGAATGTGAACTTAGGTAGAAATACATTTGTTGCAGGTATAAATTAGTCAAGATGAGATTATACTATAGTGTGTTTGGCCTTAATCCAACATGACTAGTGACCTCATAAGAGAACACGGACACAAGGAGAGGATGCCATGGGACAAGAGAGCAGAGATTAAAGTGTTTTGCCCCTGCAAGCCAAAGGGTGCCAAAGATTGACAGCCACTAGAACTAGGAAGAGATATGGAAGGATTCTCAAAAGAGGAAGCATGGCTCTGCCAACACCTTGACTTTGAATATCTATGTTTTGTTTGTTTGGTTTTTGTGGTGCTGGGGGTTGAACTCTGGACCTCATCCTTGTGAAATATGCACTCTATCACTCTGCTCTTCACCCTGCCCCATTTTGGACTGCTAACTTCCAGAACTGAGAGAGAATGAGTGTCTGCTGCTTTAAGTCACCCAGTTTGTGGTGCTCTAGGAAACTAAGAGGATCTCCAAAGAACAGCTGTGACTCCGGGCCTGGCTACCCTCCATGAAGATTCAGGTCTCTCTACAATAGCCTCAGCAATCTCCTGCTTTGGACGTTCAAATTCTGCAGTACCTGTTAGCATCTGCCATATCAAATCATACCCAGTGTGGTTCCTCATCTGGCATCTGGCACTCTTCCTTGGATGTTCGTAAACCAGGATGGCTAGAAGCTGAGGAACATGTTCCCATTGCTCCTAGGGTAAAGAAATTACCCTACCCTCAAATAAAATCTGCCTGGGTGCTCCTAGCCCCTCAGATCTTCCCCCAACCACACAGCCTCTCTTTTCATCCTCTTGCCACAAGAAGCCTAGAGTTGCATTTTCCCAAAAGTTAGAGGTTAAATGATGTAAATCACTCTCCTGCCTTTCAGGAGAGTGATTTACAAACTCACAGTTCAACTTCATCTGGCCACACTTTTTAATAGCAATAAACTGGCCATCATTGAAGGAAGGATCTTCTATCGTTTTTTACAAAGAAAAGCATGAAGGTGATCCTGGGGCTTACCCCCAGATTCTACCTGCAGCACATGCCTCTTACCAAAGACTTATTCTGCCTAGAAATAATTTGAACCCTCTATGACATTGTCTGGCCCTTACCTCCTGGCCTGGGGCTTTGTCTCTGAAACTTGAATCCATGACCCTGATATCCTTAGGCATACAATGTTATATACTCCTGGCAACGAAGATTCTAACAATGAAGTGTGCTACCAGAATATATTCTCTCCATTAATAGTGGCTATCTAAAGACAAAACAGTTTAATTCATTAAAGATATGTATATAGATCAGTTCTTTTAAAGAGAATGGACCTTTAGCAGAAAAGTATTTAAATGGCCTGGTAATGAATGGACTAATGTTCCTTTTGAAAGGTTTTCAATGAATTTGAGACAGCAATACTTTAAGACTTGACCATGGAGTCTACCACATTTGGATTAAAACAATTGGTCAAATCCAGCTCTTTGGAAGTGTTTTTGGTTTTAATGGTCATCTACATTATTAAACTGTCCAATGCATTTTTAGTAAAGGCTTGAATAATCATTGCTCAGGTTAAGAATGATCAGATAAAGAAAGGCCAAGAAGAAACCAAACCCAGACTAAATAATGAAGGGGAGAAATGAAAAAGTAAAGGCAAGTGAAAGAACAAGAAGGGCAAAATAATGTAGAGAAAGCGTTAAGAAGGCCAATTTCTTATTGGGGAGATTAGTAATACTGAACAAGGCTGATCCTTTTATTTGCTGCAAAAGTCTATTAAAATTATTCCAAAAGAAAAAGGAGAGAAGTGTTTTGTCCACTTATCTCACCTTCCAGATGGTAAGTGTTGGAACAGGATTTTCAAAGAGATCTGGGTGACTTGAGAGGCCATGGTCTTGTCACTATGTACAGAGCCTCCTCTGCGAATATGTAGGGAAAATCTGTTTTGTTCTTTTTTTAGTTCTTTTTGGAGTCTTCTTTTTGGGAACAGAGTGGCACCTTCAGGGCCTTGGCTGGCTTCCCCAAGTCTCAATGGTGTTAAAGGGCAGACCATGAGTATTGCAGCAGGTCATTGACTGATTGACAGTACAGAACCTTGAAACAAAGGCTGACCGGGATCTCCTTGAACTCCTAGGAGCTGAGGTGACCTACATGAACATGACTGCCTACAACAAGGGCCGGCTGCAGTCCTCCTTCTGGATTGTGGACAAACAACACGTTTATATTGGCAGTGCCGGTTTGGACTGGCGATCCCTGGGACAGGTAATCTTCCCACGTTATCTAAGCTCAAAGTTCTACCTCCATAAAGAACTTAGCCATCTCTACAGTGGTTAAGGGAATGAAACCTACAGCATTTTTTAAATTTTATTTTCACTTTTTGCAGTTCTGGGGATCTAACCCAGGGCCTCGTGCACACAAAGCATACATTCTATCACTGAGCTACACACCCAGCCACGAGCAGTTATTATTCTTATCTTGTGCAGTTTTAAGAGGGTCACCTTTGTTTACTATGAAATGATAAACATTTCCTTGTCAAAATCATTTTACCAAAAAAATAAAATAGAAAGAAAGGAAAATAACAAAATGATTGACATCGTGCCAGTGCTTTTGTAGTTCAGATTCTACTTTCTCTTGGATTCTTTAGAGCTGATTGGTAGGTAATGTTTGTTACCCAAACCTGAATCTTTAGGATGATCTCACAAAATCCATGAGACAGAGAAAAATATACAAATCTAGCATGAGCTATTGTGTTTTGGGATAGTAATCATTTCAGTTATTCCTTTAACAAGTCTTAAGATGAAGACATTATCCTTTTACTCTTTGCAAATGATTAACTTCAAATGTTTTGAAAATACACTTAGACCATCTTATACCTTTCATATATTTATATTTTCCAGACACAATCCATAGAAGATTAGAAAAATTGCCATCTTTCCATTGGTCAAGTGCAGTAGGTTACTGGGTGCTTAGGAGGATGCTAATCAACTTTGCATAGTACAGAGCCCTGAGCTCTTTTGACATTAAGATCACTAAATTCACCAAGTGAGTTGCCCTGCACTTTACTTGATCTCTTGGGGGAAAGAAAACATTTGGGCGCAGATAGGTCCCCAGCTATAGAGAAAGAGGGCATAACATTGGACAGATCTGATAAGGACAACATTACATTTGTATTGTTAGTTTTACATACTAAATCATTTAAATGAGAAAATTCCATGATTTTTTTGGAATGAAGACATCATGAAAGATTGAGAAAACATCTTTTATGTTTTCTCAGAAAATTAGGAGGAACCATGTATAGATTTTTAAAAAATTAACCTAAATAATAGTAATTCAAAGTACTAGTAACAATAATGGTAGCAATAACCAGCATACACTAAACACCATATGCTATTTGAAGCTATTTAAATGAATATTTGTTTTAAACCTCACAGTTATCCTATGAGTTAAATACTATTATTGTCTCTATTTTATAGATAAGCAGACCTGAGCCCATAACTGAGTTTCAATATTGAAATTTTTAAGTCTGCTTTCCCAAGTAATTTTGAGACTAAAAACACAAATTTTGTTTCTGTATATTTCATGTTTATTGGCCTTATAAACACACATATAAAAATATTGATTACAACAACATTGGCTTACCTCAGAAGCAAGAAATATGTAACACCTCTTTAATTTAGAGTACTAAGAGGAAACTAACCTATGAATGTCTCAAATGTCTCAGCTCACCTTTTTATTTTTTGTACCTACAATAAACATCTTCTGCCCAGTAATTTTTAGCTGAATAGCCTATAACAAATACATAAACGATTCTATAGCAATAGTGATTATATATAAATTCTACTGCTAAGTGATTGTTTTACTTCAGCATACTTTGGGGGTTATATTTTGTTTATTTTTAGAAAATCTGTTTCCCCACCACCAAATTTTATTTGTTTTGTCGTTCACTGTTACTAACTGATAGGGTCTAAAGATTTGTGATTTCTATTTGAACGATTGAGGCTTACTGACATTTTCCCCACAGTTTTAGAACAAGTTATCTTTAATTCCTTTACGACCTTTTAGTCCCTTTCTTAGGCAAACAGATATGCATGAAAATGTTGGTTTCTTTGCTTGAAAATTATTACTTTGTCTTTGTTTTTGGTTACTATTCTTTGTTTTGCAAAATGTAATGTTCATTCTGTACCTGTGTGGTCATTTGGATATTATTCCTGTTGAGATAGATCATCATTGTGAAATGTGAATTTTCTCCACTTTAAACATGGTAAATTCAGAGTAAGGATAACCTGAAAATAATTTCCTATTAGCCAATGAAGAATTAAAGTTGTCTGGTGACCTTTCATTGTTTACACATTGCCACGAAGTAGCTGGATTCCCTTCCTATTATAGAGAAAACCAGAGTTGTCTCTGAGTCAGTGCAAGTTGGGCAGCACATAAGCAATTTCTCTGTTCCACAATCACTTCAGTCCTTTCTTAAAGACCTGTCAGCTCCTTATGATTCATTTAATGTCATTCTTAGGAAGAATCAGAGATTTGCAAACTCTGCCTTATATCATTGCATGGAGCTGGCCTCTGTAGATCTGTCTAGAAGATGTGTCACTGTGACCTAGTCACGTAGTTTATTTGTCCCCTGCTTCTAAGCCACATAATCAGGGAGAATAAACAGGGTACAGTGACGCATGTAATACCAGCAACTTGGGAATCTGAGGCAGGAGGATTGCAAGTTCCAGACCTGCCTTGGCAACCTAGCAAGATCCTCCCTCAAAATTAAAAAAAAAAAAAAATTAAAAAGAAGGGCCAGGGTGTGATTTGGTGGTAAAGTATCCCTGGGTTTAATCTCCAATACCAAAAAGAAAGAGAGAGAGAGAGAGAGAGAGAGAGAGAATAAACATATATTTTTAGGTTTTTCTCCTTCAGCTTGAAAATAACAACAAAGCTATACTAAAGACCTAAATAGATTAATATGATATTTCTTAAGTATAGAGTAAATGCAAATGGGGATTTAAAAATAAATTTATTTTATAACCCACCATAAATAAATTTACAGATAGGAAAACCATGAAAAAATAATGAGTACTTCCAAACCCTTCTTAAAGAGAAGGTAGGTGAAGAATTATCCTTACCAGCTAATCAGTAGACTGTTGGTGAGGGAAGTAAACTTGGGTTGGTTGGAGAAAAGGCAGCACACTTGAATAAAAAGTAAATATTGATGGGAAATGTTTAAGCCATCAGTAATTTCAAGCTGTATGGGATTTCCCATGTGAACTTCTTTTGTGGAAGTCTGCATTCTTCTGTGGGTTATAAATTTAATGGCAGGTCAAACAACTTGGAGTTCAGGGAATTGGGACAAGGCAGGTGAAAGAAATCTTTTCCAAAAGGCTACTGTTTATGTGCCAGGCTCTGTGCTAATAACTTTTTAAATATTTTTCCACTTATCATAATGATTTAAAGGTAGATGTTATCTTTACCTTGCTAAGAAAGAGAATATTGGAAAAATAACAACCAAACACATCCCATTTCTGCCTTTTTTTTCCTGCTTCAAAATAATAAAAATTTTCTAACCTGTGCAGGAATTAAGCATTTAGACATGACTCTCATGTTCTAAGATTGACATTAAGTTGGCAAAGTCTGCATCTTTCATTTCATTTCTAGGAATTTGTGACTCAGATATTAATCAACCCCAAAGTAACTGTTTTCTCATTTTGGTTTTTGCTACTACACCAAACTCTCCAAAACTAAAATAAATCTCATGCTCACCCTCATAGCAATCTTTTCCTATTTTCCTCCCATAAGAGACTATATTCTTTAAAGGGGGCAGGGAAGAGGCCTAAATTAGGGAGCAGGCAAGGTTTAAAAATGAATTAGATTCGGGCTGGGATTGTGGCTCAGTGGTAGAGCGCTCACCTAGCACCTGTGAGGCCCTGGGTTCAATCCTCAGCACCACATAAAAATAAACAAACAAAATAAATATATTGTGTCCAACTGCCACTCAAAAATAAGTTTTTTTTAAAAAAATGAATTATATTTAAGGAAAATCATTTTCTTTCATGATCTTTCTGTAATGCTTAGTTATATATTCCTCCCCCCACATGCCGCCATGCTTTTCTTTAAGAAAAACAATGCAAGTGATCGAGAAACCCTTCTCTCATTCACCTCTTTCCAACCGCAACCCCATGATGATGATGAGGGTGGGACAGTCACAAAATGACACTACCCACTCTTTTATTTATTTATTTATTTTTACACAAATGGAGCACAACTTTTTATTTCTCCGGTTGTACACGATGCAGTGACACTCTTCATGCAATCGAACACACACATAGGGTAATAATGTCCGTCTTATTCCACCATCTTTACCACCTCTATACCCACCCCACTCCCCTCAGCCCCCTCTTCCCAATCCAAAGTTTCTTCATTCAATCCTACCCACCCAACCCCATTAAGGATCAGCATCCACTTATCAGAGAAAACATTGGTCTTTGATTTTGGGGGGTTTGGCTTATTTCACTTAGCATGATTTTCTCCAGTTCTATCCATTCACCTGCAAATGCCATAATTTCATTCTTCTTTAAGGCTGAGTAATAGTCCATTGTGTGTATATATACCACATTTTCTTTATTCATTCAACTGTTGAAGGGCATATAGATTGGTCCCAGAGTTTAGCTATTGTGAATTGAGCTGTTATAAACATTGATGAGCCTGTATCCTTGTAGTATGTTGATTTTAAGTCCTTTGGGTATAATCTGAGGAGTGGAATAGCTGGGTCAAATGGTGGTTCCGTTGCACAAGAAATAAAATCAAGAATCAATAAATGGGATGGATTCAAACTAAAAAGCTTCTTCTCAGCAAAGGAAACAGTCAATAAAGTGAAGAGAGAGCCAACAGAATGGGAGAAAATCTTTACCACACACCCATCAGATAGAGCAGTAGTCCCCGGCACACCTACTCTTGCTCTGTACTCCAAACCCCCTTCATCTCTGGGTTGAATGTCAAGACTAGGGGTCTGAATGTGTTCGCTCAAACCCCTCGTCTTCTTACAGAGGTATTCCTCACCTCTGATTGATGGATCAGGGGCTCCCTTAGAAAATGAGCCATAGAAAGTCTTATGGGAAAAAGAGAACACCTACCACAGGCTTCCCAGCCAGAGGTCTGCCTCTGTGAGTCTTTGGAGTGCCTCCAAACACCACGGAGGAAACAAAAAAAAATCTAATGCTGACCAAGCAAACAAAAGACTAACCAGTGTGTGAAGCTGAAAGAAAGTGCAC